ATTATTAGTTAATTACTAATTTATCAAGCCATTTATTTATTTTATCAAGCCATTTAAATTATTTCTACATGTATTTCCAGTTATGGCAGATCTTGTCCTCCATATATGTTTGCTTTCAGAGAACATTAATCAGTACGGAATTAAAGAGGTGTGGGAGAAAACTCAGCTGCTCTGATTCAAGCTGCTGATGTCTGCATCAAGAGTAGCTGCATTATGTTGCAGAGGTCAAAATACATCCAGCTACATCTTTTTAGGTTTTTAAGTTTCAAAATAATCTGACACTTATAATTATCTGCACTACTGAACACTTCCAGCAAGTCTCTGGGCCAATAAAGTTTGTTCTTATGTCCTCCTCTGCACGTATACAGAGCGAAGAGCTCACATGCCTAAAGAAAGAAATAAAATAAAAAACACCCATTAGGAACACTTATTCAAAATACTCATATTTCTTTGTTCTAATCATAATATCCTGTAGATATAAAATATCCGTTATGTGATATAAAAAAACAGGCATTAAAAAACTTTTTTCTAATCACTGTGAAAATAATGTTTTCCTACATTTTCATACGTTTCCCCTCTTCTCTGGGAGGTAAACTTGAGTATCTGTGCCCTAAAGCAGAGATTCTTGACCCACAGGCGCCACCTTGAGGGTTTTTAACTTTAGGCTGCAGAGGGCCACAGCACCACACTGATTTTGAATAAGGTGCAATACACTTTCTCACTTGTAGCAGTAGTGCACCACTCAGATGTTTAACAACTTTTTTATTACATAGAAGAACCTTAGAAACCTGCCGAGAATGGAAACTTATTTTAAATGAAAAGTAGAAGCAAAAATGAAGGTAACTCATCAAAAAAGGCCAAAGTTTGTCACTAATATGAAGTACTGCTTCTGTTTTTACCATGCAGTATTTTAAAAGTTCAAAACATTATCAAATACAGTTGCAGATACAACTATATTTTAAATTGTACTTCATCAAATAATTTTTTTGTGGTTTATTTGGAAACATTTTGAATGTATTTTAAAGAAACTTTAAACTTGTGGAAAAACTGTTACTGTTATTTTTTTGTCACTAATATGAAGAGCAGCTTCTGTTTTTACCATGAAATATTAGGCACAGTGTGTAGGATTTGTTGTTTTCAGCGACATCTAGTGGTTGAGTGGTTGAATCATCCTCCCTGGTCC